CCCCCCCCCCCCCCCCATCCCAGGCCTGTGGAAGGCATTGTCGGAAAGACGCAGATGAACAGGTTGATTTGAATTTCTGTTAGCATTTTTTCTTTATCCCGGTGGGGTGCTGGAATTGTTTTGACAACAAGAGGGGGTCTGGCGGTGTAGAGGGTTAAGAACCCCTGCATAGACATGGCATACAAACATTCACGTATCGTTAAAATGGATAATAATTTTTTTTAACGTTTTGCTAAAAAAAAATGCAGATATCAAAACTGAAAGTTGTCATTAATCACAAGAGACATTTCTCACAAGCATTAAGTTGTTTTTCTATATCCTAAATCTCAGAACAAAAACGGCTAACAAATTAAATAGTGGGCTATTTACTGACAATCTTACCGCGAGTTTATCTCAAACTGCCAATTACATCAAGAAGGCGACTGGTTATCATGTTTAAAAGAATTGAATTAATTTTGGCATGTCCAAAGACTTCTTAAACTTTCCCGTACGTATCCACTCAGAACCAGGTTCTACTAGTCAGGTGCTAGTAATCGGGTGCTAATAATCGGGTTCTAGTAATCAGGTACTAATAATCAGGTGATTATAATCAGGTGCTAAAATTTTGGTGCTAATATAATCGGGTGCTAATAATCTGGTGCTAAAAATCAGGTGCTAAATAAGTGAAAATATATATAATTTTCAGGTCACTTTCATTGAAAACGTCTAAATATAACATGGTATCTTGTAACATTACGACCCGTGTGATTGTTGATCGCCTGGTGTTAGCAATGTCAGTCATACTCAGACGAGTTTTAAGGTGTTCATCAGGAGAACTGAGATGGTCATTAACAATGTTCATGTACAATGGAGTAAGACATTAAGATGTTCATGTAGTTAACTGACATGGTCATTACAATGGTCACTTACTATGGAGTGAACATTAAGACGGTCATCTAGTTAACTGACATGGTCATTACAATGGTCACTTAATATGGAGTGAACATTAAGACGGTCATCTAGTTAACTGACATGGTCATTACAATGGTCACTTACTATGGAGTGAACATTAAGACGGTCATCTAGTTAACTGACATGGTTATTACAATGGTCACTTACTATGGAGTGAACATTAAGACGGTCATCTAGTTAACTGACCTGGTTATTACAATGGTCACTTACTATGGAGTGCACATTAAGATGTTCATCTAGTTAACTGACATGGTTATTACAATGGTCACTTACTATGGAGTGAACATTAAGACGGTCATCTAGTTAACTGACATGGTTATTACAATGGTCACTTACTATGGAGTGAACATTAAGACGGTCATCTAGTTTTCCTACTCAACAAGTCAAAACCGGGTCAAACGCTACACCAGTGGTTCTCAACCTTCCTAATGCCGCGACTCTTTAATACAGTTTTTCGTGTCGCGGCGACCCCCTGCCACACAATTATTTTCGTTGCTACTTCATAACTGTAAGGATATGTGTTTTCAGATGGTCTTAGGCGACCGATGGTAAATTGTCGCGTGACCCCCCAAAGGGGTCGCGACCCACAGGTTGAGAACCGCTGCGCTACACGGACAATGTCACCCACCAGTAAAGATAGCCTGGAGGGCACAGCGTGCATGTGATTGACGTCGACCAAATCGTCATTCCGGCTAATCCCTGTTTCAGTCATGGCACATTAGATTAAGGGGCAGAAAATATGACTCTCTGTCTTCGCGATGTGAACTGCATAGACAAATTATTCAAGCAGAAGTTAAAGAGCCACGAAGATTTCCAAATACCTTCTCTATGTTGGATATAATAAGAAACATCTATAGTTGGGGGGGGGGGGATTTTCATACAGGCTACGTAGGCTAGGACCTCGGAAATCTAAGGGATTTCAAAATTTAAGAAGCTAAGGACTCAATTCTGGCTTACCTAAGATATTCTAAATAGTTTTAGTTTTTCATAGATATCCCGAGGGCATCACTGACTTTGATGCGTGGGAATTTGTTAACATGATCATTATTTTCAAGGTTTCACGTTTGTCGAAA